GAGGCAGGAGTCAGGTGACCTGGCACGCCTCCGACATCCTGTGTGGCCTGCGACAAGTCACTCAGCCTCTCTGAGCCTGCTCTCTGGTCTATAAAATGGGCAAAGTACTATTCTTAAACTTTCATCGCCACAAATGCTAATGAGCTCACAGGCCAGGGGATGTTCTGTCCCCCAGATGTCCCCTGCTATATCAGGCAGAAACTTGCACCCCAAGTGGTCTCTCTGGGTGGAGATGCCACACCATTGCTGGACAGCAACATAGAATGTCACATGTGACATATTCCATTACTGGATTCACGGCCATGCAGGACCTCCCTGGTCAAAGCCCAGGGCTGCCTGTAGGGCCAAAGGAGCCAGGACCGGCTGTGGGAAAGGTTACTTCAAGGTATATGTGGCATATTTCCCTGGAGGGCAGGCCGGTGCTCCTCTGGGAGGCAGGATAATATCTATACCTAGAAGCCAGGAGGCAGGAATGAGGGCTGAGGCGACACTTAGAAAGTATTCAGCCCTGTGCCCGGCACGTGGGAAGTGCTCATTCAAGGAAGGTGTTGACCTACGTCTCAGTTTGCTTCTTTGTGAAATGGGGAATAACACAGGGAAAAAAAGAGGGAAAATAAAATGAGGATAACAATTATTCCCCCTTCAAAAGATCGATATGAAGCTAATTGAGTGAATTTACGTAAATCACTTAGCACAGGGCCTGGCACATAGTAAGAGCTCAATAAATGTAACTGCCGTTATTATTATTATTGTTCTATACCATGAACAATAACTTCCAAAGTCATGGGATAAGACTTGAGGCCAATTTCCATTTAAAGTCGCTGTTAGCAATGCACGTTTGGCTTGAGGGCCACCAGGACCCCTGGAGCTTTTTAGAAACACCCGGTTGCAGACAATCTCCCTCTTTCTCCCTTTCTCCTGCCTGGGGGTGCGCTTGGATTCCTGAAACTCTCCTGCACCCACTTCTGCCAAGCTCACAGCCCCACAGTGTTTTCATTGTTGGGGAGCGGGGTACATGGAGAAATATTGAAAATTGCAGACTCCTCTCTGAAGGTGGGACCACCTCCCCAAGAAAGTTGATCCCCTTAGAGGGTGGAGCCTTTAGGTCCAGGAGGCAGAGAAAGACTCCCACAGCAGGTGTTGTGATTATGGGCATATAGTATGCTATCGCCAGGGGGCGGCATCTAGAGAGCAGGCAGTGGGTAAGCTCTCTCTGCATACTTCGAGACATTCTAGCCGCCCCGCACCTGGACGTGGCAGGCGGACACTGAGCCTGGATCTTTTGGCATCACCTGCAATACTGTGGTCAGAAGCATTGTTTCTGCTTCTGCACAAACTCTGAGAAAGAGGCCCCAAGGAGAAACAGACCAATTGTAATGGAAGCTCTGTCTCAAGTGGATAAAGAGAGGGAAACTAAATGGAAGGAGACAGGGTAAATGACTTTGGACTTCAGCCCATCACTTTAGCGCTGATCTGGTTGCTAATGGTCCTGCTGAGATTGGTGTCATGTCCACTCCTTGGCTCGGAATTGGCGCACAGCCGGTGATGGCCAAGGCTCCCTATGTGGTCCCTGGGACTCAGAGCCCCAAGCCTGCTCTCCCCTCCACCCTGTGTCCTCTGCAGTCAGCATCCTTCCTGGAGGGCCAGAGGAGCCGGATCTCATCCTAGAGGAGATCGACTCTCACTGGGAGGAGGACGAGCATCGGGACGGCAGCATCAGCCCTCAAGGCCCAGAGGTGGCTCCAGCTTACGAAGAGGAGAATGAGGCCGTGGTGGAGATGCCCAGGTGGGAGCCAGGGAAGGACTTGAACGAATGATTGGAAAGATAACAGGCACATAGTACAGCATCCCAAGGGCATAAAAGGGCAGAGAGTGTGAACCGAGCCTGCCTCCCTGCTCCCCTAGACCCCCATTCTTCTCTCCATGGGCACAGCAGCTGCCAGGATTTTCTGTGCCATTGCAGGGACCGTCTGAGCATAAACAAGCATGAAATCCCCTCTTTTTTTTTTTTTTGCACAAAAGATGGCGTATCACATGCACCTACCTATACCCACCTTGCTATATATTCATTCGGCAATATACTTTGAGGTTTTTCCACCTTTGGCACATCGAGATTGTCTGCACTGTATTTCATTGTATGGATGTGCGGAATTTATTCAACCTGTCCGCTATCGGTGGACATTTAGATCGATTCCAAAATTTTGTTATTATAAACAATTCTGCAACGAACACTCTTGTACATGCATGTGAGTGCATCCACAGGAGGTCTCAGGCCCATGACCTACATTGCAAAGATGGGGAAACTGAGGCTTAGAGAGGCTCAGGGACAGACCTCAGGTCACCACCAAGACGGTGGGGGCTGAGACAGGCCGCTCATCATGCCGTGAAGAGGCCTCTTTGCTGGCGAGAGCCCAGGGCTGCTCAGGTAGGAGTCCTCAGGCTGAGTCTTGGTCGAAGAGTTCGAGTTTGGTCTCAGGGGTCACGGGATGTCCTACTGGTAAGGGGGGCGGGAAGTGGACTCGGGGCACACCTGCAGGCAGGCTCACCTCTTGCTGCTGACCCCATCTCAGGGAGCTGCCCCGGATTCAAGAGGAGAAGGAAGAGCAGGAGGAAGAGGAAGAGCAGGAGGAAGAGAAAGAGCAGGAGGAAGAGGAAGAACAGGAGGAAGAGGAAGAGCAGGAGGAAGAGAAAGAGCAGGAGGAAGAGGAAGAGCAGGAGGAAGAGAAAGAGCAGGAGGAAGAGGAAGAGCAGGAGGAAGAGGAAGAGCAGGAGGAAGAGGAAGAGCACAGGGAGGAGCCTGAGTAAGGCGCTTGTGCCCCTGGCTAAGGGGTGGTCCAGGGAGGCGGGCTACGGGGACGGGTGCCTGGCTTCTGGGGTGGGAGTGCCTTCCGTTCTGTGCTGTGCACCGCTGGGCACTGGCCAGAGAGGCTGGGGGAAGCTAGGGGTCCCCCACTGTGCTCACAATGACCCAGGACTCATAGTGTCCCCTATCAACACCACACCCGTGTACACAAACACTAGAATGCAACCTCCACGAGATGCAGATTTTTGTCTGTTGTGTTCACGGCCACATTCCCAGAGCCTAGTACAGTGCCTGGTGCAGTAGGCGCCAAATAAATGTTGGTCGAATGCATGGATGGATGAACCAACGGACACGTGCGGTGGGCTCCCCATTCACCCCTATGATTAAAGAAGCTGAGGCACACAGCTGTCTCCCTCCCTCACAGCTTGGATCCTGCTCCAGTGCCATTAATGGCGGATGCTCCACCCACATCTGTAAGATTTCAACATTAACACACACAGAAGAGTTCAGCTAAAATCAAGTCGAAAATAGAGATCGGAAACCACTAAAAGCTATAACTATCAAACCTGCTAAGAGACTAGATCTTAACTACTCCAACCACTAAAAAGAAATGAAAATAGGTGACATGATAGAAGTGCTAATTATCGCCACAGTGGCAATCATATTATAATATATAAATATTATATGAACATCAACAAATCAACATGGTGTACACCTTACATTTACGCAGTTATATGTCAAATGGATTTCATCCTAAAAAAAGAAAGTGGTAAGAGAGAGACGATTTTCAGATACGTGGGCTGGAAGGATGGATGGATGGAGAGGCGGAGAAGTGTGGAGGGGTCCAGGCAGTTGGACGCCTGAGTCTGGAGTTAAGGGAGGGAGAGTTTAGCCTGGAGACATAATGTCAGGAGTCTGGTGGTGTAGACGAACCTGAAAGCCTGAAAGCTGGGGACTGGAGGAGATGTCCAGAGAGGGCCGTAGATGGAGGAGGGGCCCAGAGGCCAGGTTCGAGCCGGGGAGATGAGGGAGAACTTGAAAGAGCTGAGGAGGAGGTGATGGCAGAGGGAGAGAGAAGCAAGTCGGGCCTGGAGGCCAAGTTGAAAGTGTTTCAAGGCCGGAGTGATGTTCTGCCTCAGGGCAGCCTGTGTGTCCAGAGAGCAGTGACAATGCAGCTGTGGGAGCGGAGGAAGACTGACCTTCAGAGACAGTGAGGCCACGTTGTAAAGGCCTTGAACTTGACATAATGGGAGCGGTGGGGAGCCATTGAAGGTTTGTGAGCAGGGGAATGACACGGTCTGGAGCTACACTGTAGAGAGACCGAGGCAGGGAAAGCAGTGAGGAGGCTGTTATCGCCATCGGGCCAGACTGATTGAATCTGTCCCTTTGCTCCACTGCCCTTGGTCACTCTGCCATCTGTGGAACCTCCTGGCCCACATCTTTCCTCCCTGATCTGTCCCTCTGGCCATAGCCTGGGGCAGGGCAGCACCGTGAGTGTCAGCAGCACAGGCTCTGCTCCTTGAGTGGAGGCACAAGGGTTACTGATGACGTGCGGCGCTGTTAACGGGCAGATGGTCGCCTAGCGACCTGGTCTCCGCCGGCAACAGCTCGGCTTTTCCTAGCAACCGCAGCCTTTTGGTCCCCACCTGGCCTCCCTGGGGCGTTTCTGCAGAGTTCCCTGCACATCCCCTCAATCTGATTAGAAGCAGGAAGGATTGGTGGCTCATCTGCCACCCGAGTCACACTGGCTCCGGAGCTGGCCTTGCAGGCTCAGGGCTCCGGGGTTCTCCGAATTCCTCAGTTGAGTGTACCGCCCCAAGGCTTGGGATGAATGTCATCGCCCCCAGATGAACTCCTGCACTATGGGCATCCTTGTCGGCAAAGACAGCGAGACCCAAGTAGGTGGCTGCTCCCCCTAAGGGCTCCCATCCTTCCTTCTCTCAGGATTGGGGTACCAGGTGAAAAGTTTGCTGAAGCCAATAGTGGGGACCTTAAAATTTGTGGGCACAGTCTGCTGTGTGACTCGGGGGAGGAGAAATAGGCGGGAAAACCCTTGCGAGCTGGCTGTAGCTACTACTCCCTGTGCCTTTAACTTGGAGAGCCGGGGGGTCCTCTAGGATGCCCACCTCAGCCAGTCCATCTGGTCTTCCACTTGGAATTCCCTGGGATTTGGGAATGTTCCAGAAGTTGATAGCCTGCTGCTTCTTGGCCAGGCAAGAGGGGTCTTGGCAGGCACTGGGCACACTTCTGACCAGTGGGTGACATGATGTGACGTACAAGGGTCTTACAACAGCCCCTGGGGGGTGCCGCCAGGCCATGGTAGGGCTGGTTAGGTGTATCAATAGCTGAAGATGTTTGTGCAAAATGTTTCCCAATCCACGTGCGTGATTTCTAACCCTGAAGAGTGCCGCCTCCTCTGGGATAATAACAAGAAGAATCATAATCACAGCTGCCATTTGTTTAGTACTGTTTCCTGTGGCAGACACGGTGCAAAGGCATCTGTTACTGCTCCCATTTCATAGATGAGAGGCTCAGAGATGCTACCCTACTGTCCAGGGCTGCCTGCCAGCTGTGCAGAGCTGGGCTTCCGTTCTAGGTCAGGCTGTCTCCAAAGTGAACACTTGGTGCCAAGGACAAGGAAAGCCGCTGACCAGTCTTTAGAGGTGGAGAATCAAGAAGGACCCTGGCATGGGGATTCTTTTTTGACTTTTCCATGAGATTCTCAGTGGCCCTTCTGACCTCACCCAAATAAGTCAGGCTGTACAGGCTGGGCGAGTCCTACCCATTCGACAGATGAGCAAACGGAGGCAGCCCAAGGGCTTCTTGGTGACTTGGCCATGGCCACGCAGTGACTTCCTGGCCTAATTCTGGACTGAGCAAGACCCAGAGAGAAGCCTCCGAGTGGACTGTGGGAGGTCCATTTCCTGGACCTTTGTGCTCTGAGAACCGAGGAGGACATAGTTCCCACAGCGTTTTAAAGATATTATTAACATATGAATCTTCATACACATGCAGTTGCAAATATAACTCTTAATGTATTTTTAGGGTGGAAAGGGCCCACGAAGGCTAAAGCACCTGGGCCCCGTGAAAGTCATAATGTGCCCTCGCTTTTGTGACTTGAATCTGTTCGAGGTGTTGTGTACCTTCCTGAGCAGGGTGGGGGAGCCATGGCCTCCATCATTTAGGCCTCTCATGATGGAGATACCCACACAGTGGAGAGAAATAAAGTGAGTTGGGTGCTTGGACCCTCCAGACACCTGCTTCACTACTCCACATCATGTGGGGCTGCGTAGGCGCTCGGAGGTGGGCAGCGGAGTGGCCTTGGGTCAGAGACACCATGGTTTATCCAGGCTTGCCTTGTACAGGCTGGGTGACCATGGACAGGCCACTTGATCTCTCTGAGCCTCCGATTTCTAAGCTGGGATGGCATCGGTCACAGCGCTGGTCTCTCAGGGTTATTTGGGTGAGGATTCGGGGAGACACTGTGCAGGCCAAGTGCTGGGCCCAGTGCCTGACATGCAGCCTGTGGGAGATGCTGTGACAATATGGCTGCCAGATGACCTTGTTCCCAGGCTGCTGGCTCCAAAGTGACTAGGACTGCAATCTGCCCCCACCGCCTCTCCCACTCGGGAGGGCCAGGACTGGAGGATGGAGAATGCAGGTTTTCTGGGTGGCAGATACCGCGGTCCATCCTCTGTGAGCCCCTTGGAGACAGGGGTCTTTGGGGCGGGTGGGCTGCTAGGAAGCAGGATCTAATTCTAATTACAAAAATTAATTAGCCTCTGGTTCTGAGTCACCTTTTTAACCAGATGCCACACATGGGCATCTAAGGCCCCAATTCACCCTGGTGACAGGCACTTTTGAGTATCTACATATAAATAAGTTAATTCGGACTAATTATCAGCATCTAAAGATCGGGAGATTTCACCTTTAAATGTACAGTTCAGGCTCCTTTTGAAAACTGGGCTATCTGGCCGCTGCGCCCCCATTCCGTGGGGAGTGGGGCTGCCAGCTCAGGCGGGCACGGGTTTTTTCTGATTTGCCATAGTCCTCTCTGCTCCCTCAGCCTCGCCCCGGGCTCTGTCCCTCACCTGCGCCTGGCCCAGGAGCCCCTGAAAACGTCAGCAGTTGCAGTGTGGCTCTGATTTCAGGGCGTGAGAAGAAGAGCAGGGCCTGCATTCAAGGTTTAGGTGGTATGTGACGATTTGCTGTGGGATTTTGGCCAGGTGAGTTCACCTCTCTGGGCCTCACTTTTCTCGTACTCCCTGCCTTGCCTGCATCACCCAGGTGACAGGAGACCCTCAGAGTCGAAATGCTGGGCGTATATTTTGGACACTCTCCAGTGCTCTTTTGTCACACCCCGGAGGACCGTTTCTCACACAGTCCTCTACACAGTCCTCTTGTCTTCGCACATGCTGTTCCCTCTTCCTGGACACGCTTCCTCGGGGTCAACTCATCATCTCGGAGGCCCAGCTCATAGGCCACCTCCACTGGGGGCTCCCCCTTCCTAGGCAGAACTGTGGCTGTGCCTTTCACAGCTCCTTGCTCCAGCATGTGTCTCAGACTGGGAGATCGTTAGCGGGACATGGGGTCTGCCGCTTGTGCTCTGCTGGGAGCCGCACGAGGGCAAGGACCCGTTCTTGGGCATATTTGTACCCCACCTCCCGGCACACTGCTGGCACTCAGCAGGCGTCAGGAAATGTTTAACGCCTCTAACCCCAGCCCTTTCCTCCTCCCTCTCTGGGTCACAGTGTCCCGCTGGATAGCTGTCTGGTGGCACAGGCTGGTGAGGATCCAAGCAGTATAGACGAGACTGAGCCCCGGAGCGCCTCACGCCAGGTATGGAATGGCACTGGGCCTGGCACCCGGCTCCCTCTGAGGCCTGGGCTGACATCAGTGGAAGGGGCTGGGGCCTTGTCCAGGGGATTTTTGCTGGTGGGATGCCCACTGGATAGAGGGGAGCAGGGCGGTGGGCACCGCAAAGCCCTGTGCACACCAGGGCTCAGATGGCGCTAGGAAGGGCCTTTGGTGACACAGCTGTGTGTGGAGAGCAGTGGGACCTGCACTCCAGTCCTCACATGGCTGTGTGACCCTGAACAAGTCACCTCCCCAAGTCACCTGAGGCTTGAGTAAAACTACATGGCTGTGTGACCCTGAACAAGTCACCTCCCCACCGGAAGCCTCAGTTTTACTCAGCGGCTGCCTTTGTAAAATGGGGCTGAACGCGCTTCCCAGGGTGCTGTGCGCAGTTGTACACTGTGGAGTGCAGTGCCTGGTGGGGAGGCTGTGCGGGCAGCTTTAGCTGCTTCGCCCTCACATGCACAGAGCTGGATAAGACCCCCTCGTTATATGTGACAAGTCCGGATGTTGGGGCCTGGGGCTCCTGTGTGCACCACCCTCTACGGGGTGGAGGCCACCTCCCTGGATGCCTCAGAAGGTGGCTGGCAGGGTCTGGCGGGCTGGTCAGGTGAAGAGTAGACTGGGGCAGACCTCCTGACGGGCTGGGCTGGATGAGGGCTAGGCGGGGGCTTGATGATCACAGCTCTGTTTCGCTTTATTTTTTTGCAGGAGGAGGCCGTGGCCAACAGCTCAGGAGGTAGGGGTGTGTGTGGGGGGGCGGGGGGCGGTTATAGCGTGTCCAGGATACTTTCAGGCTGAGATTAGCTTGGGCTCAGGGGCACTCCACCTCCACCCTCTACCTCCACCCTCTCTGCACCCCTCCACCTGCCCCATCCTCAGGAAAACCCATCTCTGAGGCTTGGGGCCATATTATTAGAGCCCGGTGATGTATTTCAAAGACCCCAGGGGAATTGCATGGAGGCCCCAGGACTCCAGCAGGCCTGGGGGAACCCTGCTCCTAGCCAGCCCCTCCTACCACCCCGTCACTGGGAATGCAGCCCTCTGGGCTGCCAGCCAGTGGGGGTTTGGCTCAAATGTAATGTATCTGAGTGAAAATTGAGGCCGGAGCTTGCTAAGGGCACGTCCTGGACTCCACGTCTCTCGATGAGCTTTTCTTACTGCTGAGAGCGCCAGGCTGGCCCCGGCACATGCACTTTGCAGTGAGGGATGGTGAGGACGGAGTCTAGAGAAGCTGAGGACATCTGGACACCAAGCCCTGGCCTGACAAGCCTCCACATTCCTCGGGCCACTGGTGCCCCAGTGCCCTGTGAGGCAGACAGACCATTTTACCAATGAGAAAACCGAGGCTCCGTGTGGGTGGGATTTGGCCAAGTGGTCAAGGGCACAGACCTGTGTTTCACGCCTGGCTCCTCTTCCTTCCTCACCGTGTGATCTGGAGCCACTTCTGTGACCTCTCTTAACTGTGGCTCCCAAGTCAAGAAAGTCGGGGCAATAATAGTACCTGCCTCCCAGGGTTGTTGGGCAGAGTGGGGGCGACAGTGCCTCGAAAGCACCCAGCACTGTGGCTGGCACTGAGCGAGGAGGCCATGACGGTACCGTGACGCTTGTGTCCCAGCCAGCCAGGGATTGAGATGGGACTAGAGCCATCGTATCCTGAGCTTGGTCCCTCTCTGGTCTCCATCACCTTCAACGCGTACCTGTGGGAAACCTACTAGGTCTGCACCCGCATAGATGAATAAGGCCAGGATCACCTGGGTGCAGATTCAGGTCCCATGGGGCTGGCTTCACCCTTTCCCCAAATCATTTGGAAGCAAGTGGTCTGGGAACTACACTCTGAGAAACACGGAGGCACAGCCATTTGTCTGCAGCTACTCAAAAGTGTGGACCTAGAACCAGCAGCTTTGGCGTCGGTGGGAGCTGGTTGGAAATGCAGAATCCCAGGCCCCACCCGGTTTCATAAAGGAGCCTAAAAAACCACCCTTGTCCCTAGAGTCTGCACTTTAACGAGACCTCTGGTGATTTGTCCGCACATAGGGTTTGAGGGGCAATGGCCTTGAGGCTTGGTTCTCAGCCATGACTGCACATCAGAATCATTTGGGGAGATTACAAATCCTGGTGCCAGACCTGACCCTGGACCATTAAATCAGAACCTCTGGGATGGGCCCCAGCATCAGACATTTCCAGACATCCCCAGATGATTCCAACGAGCGGCCCAGCTGGGAACCAGGGCCCTGGGAAAAGTTACTGCTTCTGGTTGGATGTGAAATTAATGGAGCTCCAGGGTTTCTTTGGGATGGAAAGTCCTACCAGGCTAAGGATGTTTGAGCCCCGAATCTGTGAGTCCAAGGATCTGAAGCATTCCAGGTTCTTTGATTCGGACTTTTTGATTCTGAGGTGGGAAATGCTGCCGGTGAACACAAGGAATTGGGGGAGGGGGGTGGCTCCAGGCTGTCCCTCAGAGCTGTTGGGCGGGCCAGCCACATGACACGGTGACGTGTTCGCCGTTGAACTCCACGGACAAGAGTGATGCTCCAGACTTTGGGCGCAGCTGCTGAAAGCACCAGGCTGGTCTGTTTCGGTGCTGACAGGGAGGAGCCCCGCCCTCTCTTGCCTCCCCCAACTCTGTGCTCCTCATTGCAGTCCCCAGGGTTTCGCCTCTGCCTGAGACCCCCGGGCCCCAGCACCATGGCTAAACCAGGCCGGGACATGGAGCTGAATCACCTGGTCCAGGACCAGCTGCCTGGTCAGGTGGCCTCCAGGCTTGGCCCCTCACACATGCTGGACCACCTCCCCAACGTGCCCAGCTACCGCCCCCCAACCACCCGCATCCCTGTCCTCATCTCCCGGAGGACAGCCTTGTCCAGCTCCAGCTTCGCCAAGGAGACCAGGAGCTCCGTCCGTCGCCTAGGTAGTGTGATCTCAGCCACCCAGCACGCTCACGCCCGCGACGTGTGCTTCTGCATGGCTTGGGCTGTTTCCCTGCATGGGTGCCATGGTCATGGTGTGGGACCATCAGTTGGGTTCGTGGAAAAGCACCCCTTCTTCCTCTGCTAATCAAAGGCTTCATTGTGCTTGTGGTGACTTGAGAGATATTCGTCCCCTTCTCTCTGTGCGTAAAATTTCACCATTAGCTATTCATTTCTTTGGGTTAAACATTGCATTCTGCCGATCATCATTTTTATATAAGTAGTCACTCGCATCCTAGTTTAAATAAGTCACTCAGATCTCTAGGCCAAGAGGGTTGGGGTACGGAGCTGGGAAGGGTAAGAGAATAAGCGGAGGGGAATGGAACAGAGGAGGAATGTGGGGGTCCATTGCAGACAGAATCTTCTGACCTCGAGAGTTTACTGGGAGCTGGAATTTCTGAGGACTATTGATATCTGCCCTGAAAACTCCCTTTCAGGAAAGGAGATGCTCCAGGTGCTCACAGGCAGGCCGAGACGAGAGGCATCCTCAGGGGCCAGTGCAGGGGGAAGGCCTCGCTGGATCTGTTTAATCGTGACAAGGTCCCCTCAGTGGCCTTCAGTCTCCTGCTACTTGCCGCCTGATGACAAAGTGCTCGGGGACATACTGACCTCTCTGGGCTCAGCCCTGTCACTTTCTGTCTTTACTCAAGCCAGACCTGCCCACTTCCCTTCTAGATTTGTTTATTTTCGGATGACACTGGGCAAAGTCGCCTCCGAGATCAGTAAGCGGATAGAACCGGACATTTCATGAGATGAGATCACTGTTGTCCTTCCCTCCTCTTCCTGGCTGGGAGTGAGCAGAGTTGGGGTGAGGTGGCATGCAGCTGTCCCCATGACAAGGCACGACACCCAGGATCAGTCTCCTGGGCGAGCCCTAAATCCACTCACTCCAGAGGGTCCCCCGACTTCCACCCCACAAAATCATGACTCCATTTGTGCTATCGTCTGCACCTACTCACTTGTATTTGCTTGCTGTTTTTTACCCCCAGTGGATTCGCTTTTTTATTTCATTAAGTGTATTTAAACAAGGAATAGGAACTTGACATTACTATTAAAAGGGGAAACCAGCATGGCTTGCCAGAAATAGAAGGCATCGATAGAAATAATCACAAATACACTGAAAACAAAGTCAAGGTGACGGTTTCTAATCAAGTAGGTGGCTGGCTGAAGGCTCACAGCTGGGGCCTGCTCTCCATAAAGCGGGATTAGAGTGAGTCGGAGAGGTGTTAAGGCCATAGCAGAGTCAACTTGAGACTTCTTCCCTGTGCATTCAGGATCTAGAGAGACTCTAAAGGGGAGGCATATTCTCATTCTGTGTTGTCCTTTGCCTGGTCTATGCCGTCTAAACCATCTCAAGTCCTCCCTGGTTCCAGGGAGCCCCACACTTTGAGAAATAATCTGTGTGATGCTTTGGGACAGTGGACTAAACTGGCTATGATGTGACACACGATGATTTTAGATGCTTCAGACAAGGCGATGACAGATAGCAGCACATGGTAAGCACACGACCCCCATGTCAGCGATGCTGCTTGGCACCGAATGCGATTTCATTTAGACAGAGGCCTCTGCGTGTGCTGGCCCCAGTCTCAGGATGGGTGAGGATTTAAGCCCCGGAGCCCGGCTGCCTGGGTCCAAATCCCGGCCCGGCTGCAGGTGCCCTCGCCTCTCTGTGCTTCGGTTTCCTTTTCCACAAAATGGGGACAACAATAACGACAACCTCATGGCGTGGCCGGGGAGGGTAAAAGAATGAACATGCATAAGACACTTAGCGTTTAGGAAAACAAATGCCGGGCAGGCCCAGAGGAAGTGCTGAACGGTAAACGTAATTATTCTCTAAACCCGTTTTATCATGAATATTATTCTTTGTGTTCTTAGTAATATTATTCTGGTCCTATAAATCAACATCATATAAACCAATACAATGTCTAACATGAGTTCCCACTCTGCCAAGCTGGTGGGATACGGGACACCAGGCTTAGGAGTTTTCCTCGTCCCCTGGGGCTATCGAGTGTGCAGGGTCTTACTCAGGGGGTGGGATGCCATCTGCCATCTGCCCCTTCCTGGGCTCCCTGAGACAAACTCCTGGCTGGGCTGCCCAAGGCGCTTTCTGCTGCCTGGGAGCCACGCTGTGCGGTCCTCTGAGCACTTTTGAGAAGCTGTTTTTGTCCTGGCTGCCTCCATGCCCCAGCCCCAACTCCAGCTCAGCTCTCCAGGAAGCAGGGTGAGGTCCCCTCTGCTCACGCTGTCTCCTGCTGTCCACAGCGTGGAGCATCTCTGTTGTTCTGGCAAAACTTCTTCAATTTTTAAAAAAAACTTCTCAATTCCCACTCATCCTCTTCTCCTGGGAGCTTAGGGCCTGGTGGTGCTCCAAAGTCTCGTGACCTGCTTGGGTTCTCTCTACCGAACTCCTCCAAGTGCTGGTCTCCCCATGGTGGCCATTAAAAAAAAAAAGTCACATAGGACATCGTAATGAGGCTGCAGTGGTAGCAGCTGTTCCCAAGCTTTGCTATGTCGCTTGAGGATGACGAGAAGATAAAGGATGCCGAAAGTCAGCCAAGAAAGACAAAGATCCAGTGAACACATCCCGGGTCAAGGCCAAAATGAAGTGGTCCAAAGGCAATGTCCAGGACAAGCTCAAAATCTAGTCTTGTTTGACAAAGCGACGTATGACAAACTCTGGAAAGAAGTTCCCAATCCTAAGCTTATGACCGCAGCCGTCTGTCGTCTCTGAGAGCCTGAAGATCTGGGGACCATCGGCGGAACAGCCCTTCAGGAGCTCCTTCGTAAAGGGCGTGTAGAACTAGTTCAAAGCACAGAGTTCTAGTAATTTCCACCAGAAACACCGAGGGAGGGGGGACCCCAGCCACGGGTGAGGATGCACAAACAACTGGACCTACTGACTGCAAATTTGGGACAATGAAACTTTATTAAATCAAAGGAAAAAAAATGAGTCACGTATCCAAGTGTTTCAAAATGTTCCCCTCCCCATTTTAGGGATGTGCGCCTGCCTTGCTGGTGCTCAGGCCTGCTCCTGCCTGCTATGGGGAGGTCCTGCCCAGGCGTGCTGGGGCATAGGGGCGCCATCTCAGCCCCTCGGCGCCCTCTGAATGCCACCTCGGGACAGACCTGTCCCCGCGGTCCCTGGGGTAGATAATGAAGCCTGAAGTAAGTAAGGCCACATCTAGGAAGAACCAATTCTTGAGACGGGAGATGTGGCTCCAGGCTTCTCAGAGATTGGGAGAGGGGTTGGGTTGATGAATCTGGGGGGTTCCTGGCATGTTCAAAAGCAAAGAATTACCAAAATGGGTACCCAACCAGGAGGTAACACACACCGCAAAGACAAGCCGTTCCTCCTGATTGGCAGAAACCTCCAATGTCTTCATCTGGGGCCCTTTGAGAGTATGAAGCCAGGTGCCTTCTTGCCCTCCAACCTCGGCCTAGGCATCGTCACCCCTCTCTTGAGGCGTGGAAACTGAAGCCCAGAGCGGGGAAGCAGCTGATCTGGGCTGTGCTAGGCCGGGCCCCAGGACTTGGGTCCCCCAGGCTCCCCACGCCCTCTCTGAGTGCTGCCACACCCCTCCCTTAACCTTGGGTTCTGGTGCTTTTCCAGAACCAAGGAAACCAGGTGGGGCTTTAGAGACCTGGACTCCAGGCTATGTCCAGGAGCTCCTGTGGCTTCTGTGGTGTCGTGGCTTCTTTTGTGGTTCCTGGACAGGTGGCTGGGGCGGCTTGGCCCTCAGAGCCCCCTGGGCTTTACATTCTTACACCCCTTGCCTGGAGCGCTCCTGTGGGCTCTGCTGAGAGGTGAGGCTGCCAGAAGCTGCTCCAAACATCCTTTCTGTGGCTTTTTTGAAGAACATAACAAGGCCCCTAGGACCTGGTCTGTCTGTCTGTCTTTCTCTCTCTCTCTGTCTCTCTCTCTCTATCTCTCTGACTGTCCTCTCTTTCCTCTCTCCAAGTGCCTGCCACAAAAGAGCACCCAGAAGTGCAGGTGGAAGATGCTGATGCTGACAGCCACCCCCTCATCGTGGAAGACAGTCCACCCTCACCCGAGCTGCCGCCACCTTCTCCTGCTACAGCTGACACGCTCGCAGTCCCAGGATCTGCCCCAGAGACCCACAGGTCACCTTTTATGCTTCTCTTGGGCTTTTCACAGCACTGTGACACTTGTCCATTTGGCAGATGAGGAGACTGAGGCCAGAGAGGGGAAGCAATTGGCCCAAGGTCACCCAGTGAGTCAGCGTTAGAACTGGGACTATGCCCCTCCTCCCCACTTCCTGGCTCTCCTGATTCCTGGCATAGGGCTCTAGAGAAAGCTCTCTAAGGTGGCCCTGTTCCCAATACCCTCGACTGTGTGTTAGAAGAGGGTAATGAATGTGACAAGGCTAAATCCACTCCCTTTTTTATTATTAAATAATACAGTGGAAATACCAAAGAATGCTAGAAAAACAATCACCTCTAACCCCATCACACCAGACGGTGTTTTTCTTTCTGTGTTCTCTTCTCTACTTGGTTTATGGGACCAGGCTTTCGCGTGTGGTTTTAACTGAAGGAGCGAGTTCGATCAGGTCTCTTTTGAGACCACATCCCATTTAGCGATCTCTTTGTCGTATTACTAAGCCGTCTCTTTAACACCCATTTATCATGGCCGTGTGACATTCCCGCAGCTCCATGCGCCAGAATAGACTCCAATCCCCTCCTATTGGGCACTGTCTAAATGGTGCTGTGAACATCTCTTTGGGCTTCTGCTCGTCCCGCCGTGTGACATTCCCGCAGCTCCATGCGCCAGAATGGACTCCATTCGGGCACTGTCTAAATGGTGCTATGAACATCTCTTTGGGCTTCTGCTCGTCCTTGGGCTCCTTTCTTAAGAGCGGGATTTTTGGTCAAGGTTGCCTCTGGAGATATATTTGTCGCTGTGTGGTTCGAGTTGGTTTGGGATAACCTGAGCCAGCTAACTGAGAGAGGTCTTGCCTAGAGCCGTAGGCAAACTGTGAAGTGCAGCACAGTGCTTTATGAATTACTGTATTTAAGCTAAAGGAGAACTGACAGTGCTTCTCCTGCACTGGCTGGATTGAGAGATGGATCTTTTTCTTCATTAATTTTTGCTCTCATCTATGAGCCCTTGAGTAATGTTTCACCTGAGGTCAGGAGCCTGCCAGAACCGAGATGGCTAGATGTAGCAAACAGGGAACTCTCAGGTTTTAAATGGAGAAAAGAGTCATAATCTTACCCAGCCTCAGAACACAGCTGAGGTCTCACTGTGTGATAAGCTTCTCACTGAGTTGGGCAGATTTAGTCCCGTTTTACAAAAGGGGGCACTGAGGTGGCTCAGAGAGTTTCGGTAGCTTGCCAAGGTCACACACTGGTAAGAAGCAGGGCTGGATATAAACTCAGGTTTGCCTGAGGCCAAGTCAATGCTGTCACTTCTTCTCTAGGCCATTGAACAGACGTGGAGACTGAGGTCCATAGCGTGGCCGTGCCCCTCCTTTCTCCTTTTTTGTCTCCCTGAGGGCAAGTGATGACCCTTTGGCCGCATCATTCCCTGCCCCGACCCAGGATTCGGCTCTGGGTGATCTGCAGGGACAAAGTCTGGCTCGCTTCCCCTCGGTCCCTGCCCCTGCCCCCGCTAAAGTCCCCTTCCATGTCTGTGTCCTCGCAGGAAGAGGCTGCCCTCTCAAGATGATGAAGCTGAAGAGCTGAAGGCGCTTTCACCAGCTGAGACCCCTGTGGTTGCCTGGTCGGACACCTCCACCCCACAGGGCACCGAGTGAGTGGGGACCACCTCTGGGGTCTCAGAGGGTCGGAAGGGTGGGTGAGTAATAGAAAGTGAGTTTGGGGGAGCATGGGTGTTTTGAGAACCCTCCGCCATGAGGCAGACTCTGCCAGTGGCTTCTGAGCGGTGAGACAGGGCTGGGTCTCCTGCCCAGGCTGCTGGTTGTCCTGAGGCTTCTAGAAAACCTGCAGAATGGGCTCGCACTCTGGGCCCAGCTGTGTCCACGGGCAGCGGTGCTCAGAGGAGGCATCTCTGTGCAGATGCTCTGTTGTAAAGGAGAGGCTGAGGGGAGGCCATAGGCAGAGGTTGACTTCTGGCACTAAACCTCTGAAAGAATCAGCAGGGAGAGGAAGGACCGTGAGGGTGGGAGCGGAGCTTGTTAAAAGTACAGACTTCCAAGCCCCACCCAGACCTGCTGGATCAGAAGCTCAGACAGTGGGCCTTGGGGAATCCATCTTTGCAAGCTCCCCAAATGATTTGGATGCAACTGGTCTATTGAACAATGTTTAGAGGCCATTGCAAGGGCATCGGGACCTGTGTCTCTGACATCTAACTATCCCAAGGGCTGGGCCAATGGGAGGTGTTTTCCTGAAGAGTCTGAGTAGCCAGGTTGATGCCAAGTTCTCGCCCTGGGTTCTGGTGTGGGATCCCCATCCTGCTTCCAGCCACAGCTCCTGCAATGGCCACGGGAGACACCAAGCTTTCATTCCAGTTTTTGGAGTTTATGTTTTAACAGAGTTGTGGAAAGTTCAGAAAAGTTAAAGAAGCAGGAGAAAAAAAACTCCAAACCTTACCCATAGTCCAGTGGTCTGTTTTATCATGTAGTGGAGTCACATCTTATGCGGTAAGGTAGGGGTAGGGTTAGGACTTAATATTAGAAATAAGGTATAAATCAGGCATAATAACAAAGATCACCCCTGAGAACTCTTAAGGAGGCGAACAGGCATAGCTGCTGCAAGGAGACCTCGAAGATTCAGTGGTGGACTTAATATTAGAAATAAGGTATAAATCAGGCATTAACAAAGATCACCCCTGAGAACTCTTAAGGAGGTGAACAGGCATAGCTGCTGCAAGGAGACTTCGAAGATTCAGAGGCTTAAGGAACGAGATATTGCTTGTGTCATAGTCATGTTGAGTGTTTCAGGTCAGTGGAAGGCTCTGCTCCATGCAGTCATTTAGGGATCCAGTTCACAGTGTCTCTGCCACCTTCTATGGCTCCCAAGATCCTGCCAGTCACCATTAGAAAGGGAGAATGCCAGGCCACTGTTAGACAAGGAGGCCTGGAGTTGCATGTAGCATGTCCACTCACCTTCCACTGGTGAGAGCTCCCATGGCCACACCTGAGAAACGCAGTCACTGGCTGGGTGTCCACGCCCCAGCGACCACCCCCCAATGGAATATAACGGACACGGGCGAGCAGCTCGTGTCTCTGCCACACCCGAGTCCCACCTCCCATCGGGACCCCCACACTGGCTGTTTCCAGTTCGTCTTCCTCAACTGAGCACAGAAGAGTAGCTGGCTTGAGTTTCAGGAACTCAAAAATATGGGGGAAAAAAAAAAAAATCTGAAAACACCAGTATTATACCCAGGCCAATGAAGTGATCAGATGAGGTCTCTCAGGGGACAGCTCATTCATACAGCCCCTGTCAACTTACCCAGGGCCCTTGCTCCACGCTGAGTGGGATGTCAGGCAGACTGTCGTTCTGTCTGTCTGTCTCTCCCTCTCTCTCTTTCTCTTGCTTCTAGGGTGTAGTTTAAATTCCTATAAGTTAAGAGGATATACAATGTATCTGGACTGTTCTTTCCACCAGCTATTTCTGAAGCCTAAAAAAGTAGCCCTGTCCCCTCTCTTATCTGTCCCAGGCACATATCGCATGTGAACCCCAAATTGGAAATAACAGCCCTGAGCTGAGTTCCCCCCTAAGTCACCAGGGGAATCAATGTTTCTCCAGATCCGCCCATCTGAATCAGAGCCTGCATGGTGCATTTTCTAAAAGTTGCCTCCCCACTCCCCCACCCTCCAGCGTGATTCTCAGACAGAATTTTCTTTCAGGAGATATTAAAGCAGTTTAATGAAAACGGGAGCGGGAGTCACTCCTTCAGACCAAGTGGGGTACAGGCACTGTTCAGCTCTTCCCCAGGGGCATGGGGTCCCTTCCCATGTAACCTGCTCGCCTTTGGGTGCTGTTTCCACAGCGGCCAGGGCCGTGCGTCCTCTACGGCCAGCCAGAACAGCGCCATCATCAACGACCGGCTCCAGGAGCTGGTGAAGTTGTTCAAGGAGCGCACGGAGAAGGTGAAGGAGAAGCTCATCGACCCTGATGTCACCTCTGATGAGGAGAGCCCTCAGCCCTGTGAGTCCAGGGCTGGGACGGGGCCCCTAATGCCCCCTGTCAACTCATGCTGAGCGTGGCCCCCAGGGAAATGGCTGGGGTGCTTGAGATAAGCCCAGACCCCCACTTTGCATTTGGAGTCCTGTATGTACAGGTTTAGCTCTATACCCAGGGGTGGGAAGAGGGCCAACCTCTGACGAGTTATCCAGTTGGCTCCCCAGGTCCCAGGGCAAGGGCCCTCATGGACTCTCCTGCCTTTTTCCTACTGGCAGGCAGGTGGTCGACCCTGGGATGTATCTCGTGGTCTTATGCTCAGATGGTGTCCACAATCCACTGTGGAACTAGACAGTCTTATTTTTCAGAGGCCTCAGTTACAATATTCTTATGGGGCTACCTGAAAGTTTTCTGCTTCCAAGGTACAGGACGAAATGAGAAATGTGCTCTGTTGTCAGGGGGCATTTCCAGGTCTTTCCAAAGGAGAACAGTGCCTTAGAACTCAGGATGCCACCATGAATTATAGGTAGCAGACTCTGACTTCACAATCCTAAGCTATAAACATAGTCATATTGGACCTATACGAGCCAATCTCTAGCCAACATCACCCTAGAAACACAGAATGGCTGCGATCCCATTCCGTCTGGTTTTAGAGATGAAGGAGCTGAGATTCCTGCTCTGAAAAACTTAGAGCAACATTTCCCTGATTTCTGACCCTGAGGGGTAGGAGTCCTGAGTATGAAATGCTCCCAGCCCTGCAGAGGGCGCCAAAGCAGTCCAGACACAGACCCACAAGCACACACTTAACTGAAACATCCAACTTGCCCAGAAACATCTCATTTGGGGCGGTTCCAGGTTGATAACTGGTAAGAGTTTCTGGACAGGTGTCCAGGTGGCTGTTAATGAGGGAGCTGTGGGGTTCGCCCCAGGAGAATACCCTGGTGTCTGCACACAGGGCTTGTAGCTAGTCGTGGGATAGTGCCGGGGACCCTTCAACTCCAGTTCCAGGGTCTGCAGTTGCTAGACCTCCCTCAGCATCCTCTGCCTGAGCCTCAGGGCTGGGCTGGATGGTCACCGGTGTTATCCCATAGCGCCAGCCAAGAAAGCCCCAGAGCCGGCCCCGGATGCAAAGCCAGCCGAGGCGGGGCCGGTGGAGGAGGAACACTATTGCGACATGCTCTGCTGCAAGTTCAAAAGACGCCCCTGGAAGAAGTACCAGTTCCCCAAGAGCATCGACCCGCTGACCAGTGAGTCCTGGGTGGGCAATGGGCATCGCTACCATGCAAGGTGAAGGGGCAGGAGATTGGGTGGGGAATGGAGTGGGGAGTACAAGAGGTGGGCTGGGCGGCCACAGACCCAATGTTCATGACCTCCCCCCAAAACAGAAACATCCCTGGAATAGGAACATAAGATCACACCCACCTTACAGACAAGGAAACTGAGGCACAGAGAAGCTAACGAGTCTGAACGCACAATTAGTTAAAGTTAGCGGCAGACCCAAGACTCTTGACTCTTGGCCACGTCTTTCTCTTCTGCTCTCGCTGGCTCCTTCCTGGAGCTGCTGCTCTGAGCAGAAAAGGGAGGAAATTCTTCGAACGGGTAAAGCGAATTCTCTCTCATTTTCCTTTTAGTCCATTTTATATCCCTTGGGAATAACAACTTTGCATGCATGCACAGTACTTTACAGTTTACAAAGGATCTCCCTGCCTTTCTCATCTGACTCCCCGAGGAAGGCAGAGCAGGTGCCAGAGAGGGACTTCCCCAGGTGATACAAGAAGTCATTTGGGGGACAGAACTCCAACTCCGGTGTCCACTGGGCCTCTAAAATGACCAAGTAACCCTACAATGTCCATCCACCCATCCATCTATCCATCCACCCATCCATCTATCCATCCACCCGCCCACCCATCCACCCATCCACTTGTCCATATATCTATCCGTCCATCTTTTATGCATTATTTACTATTGTGTAAGTAAGGCAAGAAATAGATATTAAGAAAAACTTCAACAAGAATGAAAGCAAAAGAAGTTTCTAGTTAGCTATTATCTAATAATGCCCCCACATCCCTCCTTACTCTGATTTGTTATGGCCTATCAGTGATTTATTTTTAAAACAAAGATCATTTCCCTCCCACCTCCACCCCCACCAAGTTACAGAATTATCACATAGAGTGCTTACAGGAAGGCGCAGATAGACAAGTGGAGAAAAGCCCCGCCCTGATCCCACTGTGAGGAGCCGATCCAGCTGATGCGCTGGCACGTTCCCACCTCCCCTTCCGCACAGACCTGATGTACATCCTGTGGCTGTTCTTCGTGGTGATGGCCTGGAATTGGAACTGCTGGCTGATTCCTGTGCGTTGGGCCTTCCCTTATCAGACGCCAGACAACATCCATCTCTGGCTGCTGATGGATTACCTCTGTGACCTCATCTACTTCCTGGACATCACCGTGTTCCAGATACGCCTGCAGTTTGTCAAAGGAGGGGACATCATTGTGAGTCGCAGGCCAGTGGAGGGGGTGACTGGGGACAGACTCTGTGGCTGGAGTCTTCAAGGGACCAAACCCCGATGCTTTGATATACAAGATAAGTGAACAAGGGGATTGTGGGAATATCTGCCCCTGCTTGTTCAACATCATGGTTGCTTATTCTGCATACCTTTGATATGTTCACTTACACACGCCAGGGGCGAAATGGTTCCTGGACCATCTGATGGAATTAGAGATGGAGAAGTGGTCCAGAGAATACCCTTTAGTATAGGTGGACCAGGTTCAAATCTCAGCTCTACCACAACTAGCTGGATCGCCTCTCTGAGACTCAGTTTCCTTATCTGTAAAGTGAGGATAGTGCTTGTTCCCGCCTCATAGCATCGCTGTGAGGACTGACCGAGGTAATGCATGCAGAGCGCTCAGCACAGGTGACGGCTGGCACTCGACATTGCCTGTGGGTCCCGCTAAGAGCATGATACTTGGACCAGTCTGTGCTCTGGTGCAGGCCCCACTTACCAGAAAAGGAACCGAAGTCCTGATCGTGACTTAGTAGAAGCAGGAGGCACGGTCCCTGTCTCCCTGTGCAGGTGGTCACTTTTCGAAACTTCACGCGGGCAGCGCCTGCTTCACTGTGTGCAGACAAGTTGAAATTGTGCCTTTAAAACAATTTAGACGAAGAAGCATTCCCCGGGCAACCTCTTTCCTGGTCTGATCGAGCCACCGGCAGCTCCTCAGTAATAAGGTTGTAAATGGTTCAGGGAAGACCAGCATTGCTGAGAAGGATGAGCTCAGTAGCCTCGCCTTCCATCCCAGAAGTTGGAATCTAGCTGGGTGACCTTGGGCAGCTGTCTCCCTGCTGCGGGCTCGACCTCCCCACCCACAGACCATGAGACTTTCACCTGAGCTCAGTTGGTCCATTTGGGCTCTTGTCCATGGGGCTGTTGCTCCGATCAGAAGGTGGGGGGGTCTTTGGGGATTTCCATCACTGCTCCCATGGGGTCAGGGATTAAGCTCTCAGGCCATTTCATGGTCATTATTCCATTTTCTTCCAGACGGACAAAAAAGAGATGCGCAATAACTACCTGAAATCTCCCCGCTTTAAGGTGTGTGCTAGGGATGCAAGTGTCTGTGGGGTCTTGGAGGGTGGCGTCTCAGGGGGTCCTGGGTGCCTCGGTGCTGGAGTGATGTGGTTCCCCCTGGACTGGCACGGGCTGGGCAGCCAAGCAGAGGCCTGTGGGTGGAATGCCTTCTGCCCTAGTTTTAGGCCCTCTTGGGACATTCCGAGCTTACCTGTCCATGGAAGGTAGGAGCCCAGTCACTCACCCCACCCCACGCCCCTGGAGTTTCCTGTTTCACACACTGTGGTGTCCCACTGGGGTTTCAGATGGACATGCTCTGCCTGCTGCCCTTGGACCTTCTCTACTTGAAATTCGGCGTGAACCCCCTCCTGCGCTTGCCTCGCTGTCTGAAGGTGAGAGTGGCTTCTCCATCCAAGGTCGTCAGCTCCCCCTGCTCTGCACCAGCTCTGACATCTTAATGTCTGCCCTAAGCAGCACTGGGGAGGTGTCAGGGAGGGCTGTCCCAAGGGGAGATGGGACGTTCCTTACAATCCTTAGCACTTCTTAATGATGCCTGTATTAGGTGGTGTTCTGGAGGCTTTACAGCTGCTTATTCCTCACCCCCGCGAGGCGAGTGTTGGTAATGCCAGCATTGTACAAATGAGACGTCTGAGGCACAGAGGGGTTAAGTAACTGGCCCAAGTGCACACAGGTAGGAAGGAATGGAGTTTGGATTTGAACCTAGACCGTCTGTCTCCACCGTCTACGCTTTCAACGATGACTGAGACCCCAGAGAGGAATTCCTGCTTTATGATGGTCTCCATCTAAAAGATGGGGAAACTGAGGCGTGGAACGCTTGGGTGACTTGCTCAAGGTCACAGGAGCCAGGAGGTAGTGCCTGGGATGGATTTGAATGTGCAGCCCCATGGCTGGTTCATTGTCGTTTGTTGCTCAATGTCATGACAGCCATTCTTCCCGCCACTAGGGCACAGCTGGTTTCCCAGTGAGAGTGACAGTGTAGAGCGAAGACCTGGCAACTGTCCTTTAACGTGACCAGTGCGGACAGCTAGTCAGAGTACTTGTGATCTTCCAAATGGAATTTCCTGGCAGACCAATTAAATTCACCTCTCTTCTTACATGATGCCTGATGCCTCTTCCCCAAAATGGCAATGAGGGAATTTATAAGAGACAAATGCAATCTCCTTAATAACCAAGAGAAACATGGCAGAAAAAAGTAGGAAGAATGTAAGTATCCCGATGAAAAACAAGCACATCTTGCTGGAATTGAACGTAGAAACTGCTGCTGAGCTCCCCGGCTGCCAAGACGAAAGGGGAAACTGGACGCCCCACCAGTTTTATCTGACAGGTGCCAGCCTCCTGGGGGCTGCTAAGGTTGCTATAGAGCCAAACATCAGAGTGGGGAAGGTTGGATCCACAGCCCAGTTTTCATCCCACATGCAGAGGTGGGATCTATACCTTGATTCACGTGGCGGGTAGTGAGTGTGTGTACCTCCCATGCCTAGTGGTTAGCACCATTCAGAGGACACGACTCTTTGAGGCAAAGGTGAGGGATCCAAGCCCATGGTCCTTCTCCATCCAGTGCAAAATCCAGATGGAAATTACAACAAACACCCGGACGATAGCTAGCATGTCCCGTAAGAAAGCATCATCAATCAATGTTATTTTCAAATGTCAGACAGCATGTGTGCAGTGATCCAGAGGCAGTGTGGCCAATTGGAAAGAGCTTGCAGCGTAAGTCCAATGTGGCTCTATTACTTACCAGCCGTGTGCTTTGGGCAAGTTACTGAACTTCCCTGAGTGCCATTTTCTCTCTATAAAAGGAGAATGACGATACAGACCTCACATGTATAGAAGTGTGTGTGTGTGTGTACACACACACACACACACACACACACACACACAGAGCTGACCTTAAACAACGTGAGTTTAAACTGCACGGGTCCACTTATATGTGGATTTTTTCGATAAACATGTACAGTACTATAAATGTATTTTCTCTTTCTAATGATTTTCTTAATAATGTTTTCTCTAGCTTACTTTATTATAAGCATGCTGTGTATAATACATATAACATACAAAAATATCTATTAATCGACTGTTTTATGTTATCAGTAAAGCTCCTGGTCACCAGTAGACTATTACTTATGTTTTTGAGAAGTCACACGTTATGCACAAACTTTCTACTACACTGGGGTCAGTGCCCCGAACCCCTGCATTCTTGGAAGGTCATCTGCAAAGTGCAGTCATCAAAGGTGCTCATAAAAAAGAGCAATTGTTATTATTACACTTTTCCTATTATAAATAAGCCTTAAGGATATAAGTGAGGGTGTTAGGGATGCTGTTCCTTTATAAAATTGTTTTCTTTCCAAGTAAGCATTAAAAACAGTATCCTTAACACATGTGCCCCTAAAAGTTTCACGATCAGATTCAGGAGGTCTAGGAGTCCTCTGAAATTATATGCAAACTGTAAGGACATAATTCCGTGTAATTTCTAAGGGAACAGGTACCATGGCTTCCATCACATTAGAAAAACAAAGTTTCTGGCTCTGACCCCTCTAAGGGCTAAGGATCTCTGATTTTGAAGGTTCTGTCTCTAGCCCCCTCCCACCAGGGGCTGCAGAAAGAGCCCAGTCCTGGCACCAATAGGGAACGGGCGGGGGAGGTGAGGATAGAGTGTCACCCCACAGACGGCGGCTGCCCTGATACCTTGCTCTTCCTCTCAGTACATGGCCTTCTTCGAGTTTAATAACCGCCTGGAGTCCATCCTTAGCAAAGCCTACGTTTACAGGTGAGACCCCCTATGCTTGCGTGTGTGCACATGCACGCACGCACATGCATGTGTACACACACACGCACACACATGCACGCACACGCACGTGCACATGTGCACACGTGCACACACGCGTGTGCACACGCACGCACGTGCACACACGTGCACACACGCACGCATCCACGCGCGCAGACACATGCACGCGCGCAGACACATGCACGCACGCACGCACACACATGCACACACGCGCGTGCACACACATGCACCCACACACCCACACACGCGCGCGCACACACACACGCGTTCTCTGCCCACCTCGCTTCCCTTTTCTCACTCCCCTGGCCCTGCAGCCCTCACCGCCAGCGGAAGCCAGGCCTCTTCCTGGCCCTGCTTTGAAGAGACGTTTGTTTTTTAGAGAACCAGGAATGTTCCATTTCCCCCAATTGTGAGAAGGGCACACATAGGTGGACACAGATGGCTCACTCTCACTTCCAGGGAGCTGGGCCTCATGTTGGTCTCAAACACAGGGGCAACCATTGTAAGGACACAGTGGGCCATCTGGTGGTTGTCCAAGGATGGAACCCGGGACCAGCCAGGCCACACTCAGGGACAAAGCTCCTCTCCACACCTCTCACAGAGTGGCCCTTCTCTGCCCAGCTCTGCTCCTTCCCTGCCCCTCCCCACGGAGCCCCCTCTCGGGCTCCCCCATTCCCCTAGAACTGTCTGTACATGGAGCTCTGTGCCAATTTCAGCCCTTAGTCTTGACAACTCTCCATTCGAGTGCTTCCGTTTCTAACCGGCAGCCTCAAAGAGCATCCCATTGGCCCAATCCAACCACTGGCTGGTTCCCATCAGACCTTGTCCACCCTGCCAGGCAGCTGGGCAGGGCTATGGGACTCCAACAGCGGGACCTGGGGCGTGGGCATTGGGGGAGGTGAGGACTGGCTTGTTCTCTGCGTCCCTCCCCCTGGGTGAGATGTCACGCCGCCCTTTCTGCTGTCGCGTTCACGCCTGTCCTTCTGCAGGGTTATCAGGACCACAGCCTACCTGCTCTACAGTTTACACTTGAACTCATGTCTGTATTACTGGGCGTCGGCCTATCAGGGCATCGGCTCCACTCACTGGGTTTATGACGGCGTCGGAAACAGGTAAGCCACAGTTTTCCTTCTGGGGCCATAAATCATGGCACAGAGATTCCCAGAATGGAGTCCCATGACCACTATGTCGTTGAGGCCACCTTGCCCCCAAGGACCTACTGACATGATAAGATCGAAGGGCCAAGTGTCCAAGTCCTCACTAAGCTAACATTTCCTGAGCACCTGCCATGTGCCAGGCAGAGGGGTGCAGAGACATGAACAAGACCTGCTGGAAAGATCCTTTCAGCACCCCAGAGTCTGGGAGAGTTAGCAAATTCACTGCAGGTGCGTGTACACATCCACCCTGAGGGCATGGCCGAGAGGGAATGAGGCCAGAGAAACCTCAGCACAGCTCCTGGCCATCACTAGCCATGGAGGAGCTGGCCAACAAGGTGAAACCAACCTGTCAATCCAGAGAGCTGCCATACATGTGAGACATGCTCGAATGACGATAATGATGGCGATGATGATGGCGGTGATGATATTGATAATATGATGATGATGATGATGATGATTGCAGCCAGCACTGGAGAATACTTCAAATGTACCAGCCCTGTTCTAAGCACTTAACATAGTAATTAACCTAATCCTCCCAGCAATCACACAGGAGAGGTACTGTCATCATCCCCATTCTACAGATGAGGTAGCAGGTTGCAGCGCCTTCCCAGAGTCACGCAGTTCATACGCTGGAGAGCTAGGATTTGAACTCAGGCAGCGCGGCTGCAGCGTCTTAACCGTACCATCTGCCCGGTGCTGTAGAGGAGTCGGGGAGGCGTGGAGGTGGGATAGTCAATCCGGGAGGGTTAAGTCTGATCTTGGCCCTGATAGGTGAAGAGAAGGGGC